AATCAGCTTATTACGAAAAGTTAAAAATAACATATGATGTGGACGAATTCTTTGCAGACAGATATTGTTAGAATGATCCAATTAAAAATGGTAAGATGAGCGGGACATATAGCACGAACGGCAAAGAATATTAGATGCAAAATTTTGATTGAAAACTTTAAGGAGAGAGAACACCAGGCATAATTGGGCATAGATGGAAGGAAAATAACGTAATGAATCCTAAGTAAATAGGATGGAAAGTTGTGGATTTGATCCATCTGGTTCAGGATAAGGACCAGTGCTATGCTGTTTTAAATGCGGTAATGAACCTTTAGTGTCGGTCACGGTAGCCGAGCTGTCTAAGGCATGTACTGTCTTCGCTCGCTTCGAAACCGGGATCGTGGTTCGAATCCCACTCAGGGCCTGGATGTTAATTTGTATGTGTGCGTTTTTCTGTGTTTGTGTACAGGTAGAGGCCTTGCGACGAGCTGATCACCCGCCCAAGGAGTCATACCGAATGTGTAAGATCTAGAAAAACCGAAGTGAACGGAGAAGTTCACGGAAGTAGGCCTAGGCCCGCTGGGGCTGTAGAGCCAAGGAAAAAGAATGAACCTTCGGTTCCATAAAATGCTAGGAATTCCTTGACTAGCTGAGCAACTTTAAGTTCTCGAGATGGAGTTCAGTAGGTAGGTGGTCAGTCAGAGGAACGTTGTCAGTAGTTCAGACTGGTTGCGCCGAATTACTGAATGATTATCCAACAATGCGTTGGGGGAAAGTGGAAGAAAGCGATCAGGGCCTAATTTCAGGCAATGTTCCGGCATTTGACTAGACAGCGAGGAATTCCACGACAATTTACGCGGTTTTTTCCCGGGTAACGACTGCATGTTCGTCTAAGTGCGCACCCCCACAAAACATCTGGGATACCCTTCCCTCCCGTGTCCTTTTCAAATCCACGGGGCCACATGAGGATCTGATTCTTCCAAAGGACTTGTGGTGTGCTACTGGCGGCGTTGGTGCCTCACATGCATTGATCGCTTTCTATACAATAAATTCTTTGCAACTTTTGCTCTGTATATACGGCTTATTGTGCATTTGAATATTCATCTTATTTGCTGCTTTTATATAATCCATTTTGTAAACAACTGATAGCAACATGCGAATATAGCTCATCTGTGTATTCGTAACATAACACATTAAATTTACATTATTACTATTTTTTATCTTCTTATGAATCTGTATCTTTAAACGTTCTTCATGAAGAAAACGTAATTTTAATTGCCATTATTATTATTATTATTATTATTATTATTATTATTTTAGCAATCACTGACCCCGCACGGCTCACCAACAATGCTGTGCAGCATGAGGGGAAAATCTTATGGGCCCACACATGATTCACTAATGGAACAAATTGAAACACAATCTTGCAGCATGTGGGGGTTCCAAGATGTTCTTTCATTCGATTCAGATTTAGTAAATCGATGGGGCCACGGTACCGCGGTCTGGGACCAATTCTTATACCACATGCGGCCACAACGTGGTCCTCAACCGGCTCGGGCAATGGGCCCTTAATCCCGGGAAGCTCGACAGAGACATTTAAATACAGGAAAGTGCTGTACCGCTTGTAAGTCATGACAAGAGCAGTCAGTACGGCGACTGGCTACGGGCTGGCGAACCGAGGGGTCGGAGTTCAAGTCCCGGTAGGTTCAAGAATTTTCTCTTCTCCACGTAGTCCAGACCGGCTGTGGGGTTCACTCAACATCCTATTCAGTCGGTACTTGGGGCTCTTTCTCCGGGAATAAAGCGGCCGGGACGTGAAGATGACCACTTGCCTCCAACCAGTGCAGAGGACAAGAAAATGTTGATCTATACATCCTCTCCTCCATAGTCCTTCATGGTGTAATGCTTAATTAGTTAAGCACAGGAACAAATTTACCTTACTTTTACGGTACCATTTAATGATATAACAGAAAAGAAAGTTTAGCCGAGACAAGAAATGGGATCCACCTTACCATGTACAGAGATTTTCTGTCCCCGTACTACCCGTTCCAGAGATGAACATGACGTTATGCACGCAGCACGTTGTCTGTACACGAAAACCCTGCAATTGAAATTCTGTGGTGTGATGCGTAAAAGAAAGTGTGTGTTAGGGAGACAGTACCGTGATGCAATGTGTTGATGTTAATTGTTGCGTCATAAGTCCCAGAGCCAGAATTGTCCGGAAGAGCGCTGCGTTATGTCAACACCCGAACCCAACTCCACGTATTGATTAGGTATAAGAGAAAGTCGTGTTGTTCTGTCACGTGTATTAAATAACGGTTTTGACATTTCGGCGAATACTGTAGCTGGTAGCTTATCCCTATAAGGATTACGCCTTATTGGTTGAGCGAAACAAAAAAAAAGGAAGAAATGCTTGAGGAAAGAAGGCAGTGAAAGTCGTATAACTGTGCATCCCACACGTCTGCTGCAAGGCTGATAGAAATGGTAATGGTTACGAGGCGATTCTGCGTTGTTTGTAGTCTGTTCTGTAGTTTATTTAACGACACTCTCAGGGTCTCAGATTAGGGATATATATCACGAATGATTGATTGATAGTGAATAATGAATTGGAAAGGATGTGGAAGGAGGCGGTCATAATCGCTTAAGCCAAGTTCTCGCTGCTATTGCTGTGTGCTCAATATTAACCCGGATGGAGAAATGTCCTTCTGGAATCTGTCACATGCTCTTCAGGTACAGAACTTGTCAGTTGCCGTTTTCTGATTCATATATAATAAAATGTTCCATAAATGCGCCTAGCAGCTTCACCATATATGTCTGTTCGCATGCAAAAACTGAAGAACAACTTGATAAAGTTTTGTTTTTAATTTTTGAGCCTTTACATATTTCGGTCAAGAAGACCATCTTCGGAAGGGTATTATCAACACATATCGAATCTACTCTTACCATGTCATAGACACAAATATTATATCTCTTAACTAATACTAAGGTGTACGTCGATTTGTTAAAATATCTAAACATTATTACAATTACTCTATTTACAAAGCAGTGTATGGGGCTGAAACTTGAACACTTAGGGCAGTAGATCAGAAACACCTGGAAAGCTTCGAAATGTGGCGTTGGAGAAGGATGGAGAAGATCAGTTGGACCGATTATGTGAGAAATGAAGAAGTGTTATTTAGAGTCAGTGAACAGAGGAATTGTAACCGTTTATTCTGACTGGAGGAGTGTTGTGTGAAAATTAAATTTGTATTAAGTTAAGATTAACAATATTACAAACAAAGAGATCCGGCGGATAGCCAGCTCTTACACGCGGAAGAGACATAGTTCAAGTTTTGCTATGTGAACAGGAAGTAACATCTGGTACTTTCCTGGAATTCTGGCAGTTTCAGCAACTTCGGAAAGGCTTTGAGAAAATGAGAGCTGACAGCTTGGGACAGCGATAACTTAGAAGTGGGACGGCCGGAGCCTCACACCCTGACCGTAATGCATCAAGGGGCTGTCATCCTTAGCGTCAGGTCAGCATCTGCCAGAATCACATAGCAGAGCCACATGATTGGGAATTCAAAATTTAGGGAACCTCATAGTTTGAAGAATTAACCATTGGCAGAAGTGGAGGAGAGGATTTCTCTTGGAGTCTGGGGTTCGTGGACCTCAGAATTCAGAGAGAGAGCATTCCACCTCGGGGAGTCTTGACACTACTTTCGGCAAAGTCGGACACTAAATTTACCACTACGGCCCTTCCGTAGAATAGTATAAGTACAGTACAAAGCAACAGTAGTAAGAAATTCAGTTGTATTCAGAAAGTTGGAAGGTATTAAAAGATTACTAAGTGCAACCGTCGAAAGGTGGGTGATTGTAGTGAAGTGTTCTTCCTGCCCTGTCCGAGCCAGACCCTTATAAGACCCTGGGATAGGAACCCAGCTCTACTGATTAAAGTAAAGAACCCAAAGAAGTGAGCGGTGGTGGAGTGGCGCACAACGAAAAGGGCACAAAGGAAGTGAGCGGTTACAGAATATCCTACACGAAATAAGAAAACGGAAGGCTAATTGGATTGGACATGTTTTACGCAGAAACTGCCTTCTAAAAGAAGTTATTGAAGGAAAGATAGAGGGGCGGATAGAAGTGACAAGAAGACGAGGAAGAAGACGTAAGAAGATGATGGATGACCTTGGGAACAGAAGAAGATATTTTCATTTGAAGGAGAAAGCTCTAGATCGCATCAAGTGGAGGAACTGTTTTGGAAGAGATTGTGGACCTGTCGCCTGACAGATTACTGATGAATGAATGAAAGCAGTGTCCAATATTTTATTTAATCTAGAGCCAGTTTAGTTCGTGTCGTTAAACTTCTCCTTAATGGAAGATGAATATATTTCACAGCGTGATACCGTTGCTTAATGATAAAGTTCTTAGGTATCCTGGTCCAGTTATTCAGGCTACGATGTCTTTGTTTTGGATGCACCAAGTTATATAATATTGGGGAGTTCTACTAATGTCTGTTAATAAATTCTGATTCTGATTAAAAATCGGATAAAAGTAACGGTAACTTTTCATGAAGACCTACATGCTATTCTGTGCGCACCTCAATCATAGCTCGCTAAGTATTTGAAATTTTAGAGAAATCGTATAGGCATTTTAAATATCTTTTGTGCCGTGAAATATGTCTGTGTAAGTACTGGAGGTTTCAAGATAAGTAAAGGGACCTTGATATACCGTCATCTTATAAATCTGGAAATCTAGAAGCAATAATAGAGAGGAAATACCAAATTATTACGCTGTTGCTTATACACTCTACCTTATTTAGATTATGGTGCTCTGGATTATGGCAACGTGTTTTTTTGTATGCTAGTTTCCAACTCATCAGAAGAACATACCGCCTCCATCTTCATCAACATTGAAGACTGAGGTCGCAACTTTCTCCTAAACGTTGGTAACAACTTACGGGAGTCAACATGTCGTAACCCAGAGCAGAATATTCTAGCTGCCGTGAATACCTCGCTGACATAGATGATCTTATGTTTCAGGACCGTGACTCCAGTCTCTCTGCTTCTGTGCAGGTAGGATGCACTTTGTAATTCAAGGTTTATATGACATTAGCAGGACCGCCTCTGTGGTCTAGTGGTCGGAGTTCCTGGCTACAGATCCAGAGGTCCGGTTTCGATTTCCGGCGCTACCAGATTGTCTGAAAAGTAGTGGGTCTGTAACGGGATCCACTCAAACTCGTGAGGATAATTGAAGAGCTATTTTATGGTATAGCGGTTCCGGTCTATAAAACCGAAATTAACGGCCGTTAGGATTCGTTGTGCTGACCACGCGACACCCTCTCTCCGCTAAAATTGGCACTAACTTCGCAGACAAGAGGCGGTCGCTCAGTTGGCATAGTTCGCTTGCGGACTGAAACCACGGAGTTTGTTTTTTGTTCTGTGGTATTAGCAATCTTACCCATTAGTCCCGACTTACCTGAATATCTGTCACGAAATGAAAGTGTAAATACGGTTAAGACCAATGTCGAGAAGTTTAAGTATGTTAATAACCGCGCTTTGAAGTGGCACAACAAATAATAGAAGAATTTGACAAGGCTGTGTGAGGTCTACTGTGGCTCAAGACACGAAGCCGATCAATAGCTGATGATTTTAAATCAGTTCAAAATAATTCTTAAATTAATTTTAAATCAGTTCTAAAACTAATTTAAGCTTAATAAAAAGAATTAAGTCTAATATTTAGTCTCCTATGAGTTAATATCGCCGGTCACGGTAGCCGAACGGTCTAAGGCATGTACTGTCTTCGCTCGCTTGGAAAACGGGATCGTGGGTTCCAATCCCACTCAGGACATGGATGTTTAGTTTGTGTGTGTGCGTCTTTCTGTGTTTGTGTACAGGTAGAGGCCTTTCGACGAGCTGATCACCCGCCCAAGGAGTCCTACCGAATGTGTAAGATCTAGAGAAACCGACCGAATTGAACGGAGAAGTTCATGGAGGTAGGCCTAGGCCCACTGGGGCTGTAGTGCAAAGGAAAAAAGAAAAAAAAAAAGTCAATATCCTGAAATAGTGTGTAAATAAACATGAGTGTAGCCGCTTTATGGCCTGTATGTGTAAATAGGAATATAGGGTTCTCGCGTTACAATTAAGTAATTAATAATGTGTAACTGGAAACACCCGAAGATGACAATTTAAGGGTCGAAACATGTAGTATAACCCAAAGTAATAAAAATTGTTGCATTGACGGCTGAATCTGTATTATTATGAAATTTGATTTTACGAGGTTCTTCATCACTAAATTTTATTATTGTACGAGTACATGTTTCCAAATCAAGTGCACCCAAGGAAAACTTGAATTAAGGATGCGAACAAGCAGTTAGAAGCAGTAATATGCAGGAAGGGCGACTTATAAGTTATTTTATTTTGTATACAATTTTTCGGACTGGGGCGACACGAGCGTCCGTTGTAATGAACGTACTTTATGACGGACGTTGCTGAGGACACCACACAGTTGCAGAATTCGATGCGTAGTTTTTGTCTGCAATTGAGCCAGAAGAAAGTCCAGCATTCACCTCTCTTGTTTATTTCTACAACGAACGACACGACTTTCGTTACAACAGACGCATTTTGTGCGCTCGTGTGGCCCCAGTCTAAATTGGACGTCAAGCTGTCCAGCCACAAGTCGTTCTAATCCAGCCATAACTTCGGGACAAAGTAAACAATTTCCGTGGAACAATCGCGTCTTACACAAGGCAATCCGTGAAATGCGAGACGCCCGTAAGAAAATCATCTTTTTCTGAATAAATGACTTTCATTTTAATGTAAACGGAATGTGTACAGAATTTGAAGTACATTTTTAACCTACAGCGGAGTCTTTGATAGAATTTTAGAGAACTCGGATCGTTTCAAACAGGTTTTCATTCGGTAGAAGTAACTGTACTTCCTTCTGGATACGAAGCATTGAACATTATATGCCCCATGGTTTTATAAGTGAAACATAGATGTTCCGTATAAACATTACGCGGTTACTTAACAGCACCCGCTTTCCTTCATTCCTTCTATTCTTTCTTCCCATCTTCAGTTCTTTCTTACATCCCACTTTCTCTTTCCTTCCTTTTCCCCTCTCTTCCTTCCTCTCTGTGTAGTCCCTTTCAGTCAATTTATTCCACTTTGTCGAGGTACTGGAACAGTCGACATGAAAACTTTGTTGTATCTCGATTATATAACACAACATGTTACAAAAAAAATATTTTCTGCTTAAGCCTATACTTTGTCAGTGATAGATCTTCGTTGTTTTCCATTTATGGCAAATATATTCTTTATCTGCTACCTTTCAGAACGGAGAGTATGCAATTACATTTTATGTGTATCGAAATATAAAGATTACTCTTTTCTGAGATGTGATGCCTTCATATCACATATATTTTGCTAAAAGCAGCATATTTTCCGTCAAATACTTGTTTCCTCGTTCCTCGTTCCTCATTGAACAGCCTCCCTTTTAATATTTTTGAATGAACTTTATGTTGCTCCTCAGTGTATTCTTCCAGGACGAGATTTTTTCTTTAATATAAAGGAAGCCGTCAGCGTAACCCACGTCCCATTTCAACCAGATTCCTCTGTGATTAAGTGTACTATCATGTAGTCATAGAAAATACATAGTTAATACTGTCATCAGAGATGGGGGGTTAAGGTTATTTTGGAATTACTTACGTAGGTGAAAGTGGGCATGGTTGGGCTTATACTAATTTGGGCATGCATGCTACAGTGAGTAAGGAAGCATTGAAAGATAGATGTGTAAGACTAGTTGGGATCTGACTCAAGTGTATAACACATCACTTTTATATTCATGTTACGAAACTATGGGATAAGAAAATATTTCGTCACGAATCGAAATTTGCCTCACGAATTTAAAATTGACATTACACGCTTCGAGGAACACGACCACGAATTTTCAGACAACTGTCAAAAAGCTTGGAATGAGTCCCACATTCCTCAATTTCTTGTGGCTGAGGAAACTGCTTAGGGTATTATAGTTATTAAGGCAGATGTTGAAATGAAGAGATCATTCACACCTAAAGAAAACGTTATTAGCTTCTTATATTTTTGCACAGAAACATTGAACTCTTTGAAGATTATTGTCTTCTGGATGTGATGATTTATGGCTTTAATTTTGGAAGTCGCTTTTTGCCTTATATTACCATGACAGTTGCGTCTGTGTTCCTGTAGCATAACATTTTGGTCAGTGGTAAATCTCTTGGTAAGATATAAATACTAGAGCAAGGAGGCCAACATGGCCAGTGGTTCTGATAGCGACGTTCTGTCACACTAGAATGCCATCCAAGGTGAAGGCGACTGAATCAGAGTACTCACTAATGCCATGCTAGTGTCACTGCATGCTCTCCTCTTGCGATTTCTATACTTTCTATGGCACAAGATTGTCGTACGTCACTTGATCACGGTCGAAAGTTTTTGCAGAAAGCTGGAGTAAAGTAGGCAATGACTAAAAGACAGTCCTTACTTACTTACTCTTGGAGCTGAGCCTTTCTGGAGGAGCCGCCAATTCTGCAGCTACTCAAGAATTTCGCAGCATTTTATGGAACCCGAAGGTTCATTACCGTGTTCACGAGAGCCCTCCACTGGACCGTATCCTGAGCCAGATCAATCAAATCAAGACCATCCCGTCCTATATATCTAAGATCCATTTTAATACTGTCAACCCACATACGCCTTGGTCTTACCTTTGGTCTCTTTCCTTCTGGCTTTCCCACCAATATCCTATACGCATTCCTCGTCTCCCCCATTCGTGCTACATGCCTTGTCCACCTCATCCTCCTTGAGTTGATCATTCTAATTATACTCGGAGAAGAGTACAAGTTATGAAGCTCCACAAGCTATCATAGCGAATAAACAAAACTTAAGATACGTCCAAATATGTTTTGAATACAGGTCATGCTTATGACACAAGAGAGGATGCACAAGGGATATTTAATGCGGAATTAAAGGCCAATTCTTGAATACATTAAATAAATTTCATGTATAAACTTTCACTAAACAAAGCGTACAAATGAGAGACGCATAATACAAGAAATCATATTTATGATGTAATGCTGCAGCCTTTAACAGCAGATGGCAGTGCATAGCTGCACATATACGCTACACCACAAACCAGTCTGAGCACATCACTCCCACTTGAAACATCAATTATGAAAACACGACACAACATCGCGACAAGAAATTTCACAATACATCCAATGCAGAAACAACCACATTTACACATAATTTAATAATTTATTTTCACTTTCAATCTCAGAATGTGCAACATATAATAGAATAGTCCTATGTTCTATAATATAACGCCGTGTAGCCAGTTAATCCTGAAGACGGAGGCAACATGTTCCTCCAAAACATTGATTGAGTTCAGCGGACTACAGGGCGTTATATAGCAGAGGATATGAGTCTCCATAACCATCGCTATGAGAATCATGCTGAAAAATAAGAACTCTAAGAAAAATACTTGATAAGTGTTAGGTGTAGTTTTCAACTAATTTCACACGGCACCAATAAGTAACTTGGAAAAGTACAGAGTTTTTATAACCAAAGAGCACAATGTTACTTCGGCTTAAAATGTTTTCCATGTTTGGGAGCACCTTCTCACCCGTAAAAAGTATAATATAAGATATCATTGTCCACCAACAGAGTTCTTTCCCATTGGACTACTGAGTTAAGTGTAGATAGATTTATACGTACGCTGAAAAGCAGAACGTTTGTCCACAGTGCGAGCACTGAAAACATCCGAAATTTGGAGTTCTATTTATTTTCAGAAGCAAGTTAAATTTTTCTAATTATATCACTCACTCGTGGAGCTGAGCCTTTTTTGAGAAGCCGTCAATTGTGCAGCTACTCAATAACTTCCCAGAATTTTATGGAACCCGAAGGTTCATTCCCATGTTCACAAGAACTCTCCGCTGGTCCCTATCCTGAGCAACATCAGTCCAAGTAATACAGTGCCATCCTATTTGTGTAAGATCCATTTTAATATTATCCGCCCACTTCTTGGTCTTCCCAGTGGTCTCTTTCCT